CCATTACCCAATGTTGGTCCTAGACTAGTTATGGTTCTAACTTCTATCCTTCGGCATTTTTTTTTTTTTGCACAAAGTGGCCACTCTCAGATTTGAACTAATTTTCTCACTCTTGCTAGCACAAGATTATACTATTACACCAAGTAATGGTTCTTTCTTCTAAGGTATTTATCCACTAATCTAATTTTCCATTTAATCCTTCTTTAGTTTTACCAATTTATAGTTTTATGCTTCATTGTTAATAAATAATATGCACCATGGTCTCCTCGTAAGTATGTTTAGTCAATTCATCCATGACCACTACAAATAAATAAGGGACAAGTACTAAGCCTTGGTGAAGTTCCATTATAATTAGAAATTCCGGTTCTCCTATAGGTGTTCTATCATTGGTTTTTAGCCCTTCATACATGTTCTTAATTAAATCCACATATCTATTTGGCTTCCTCTCTTTTCAAAAACCCACCATATTATCTCTCTCAGGACTATCATATGCCTTCTCTAGATCAATAATACCATATGAAGATCTCACTTCTCTCTAAAATTTTCCATCAATTGATTCAATAAACAGATAGCTTTCATTGTTGATCTCCCTGTCATGCCACTAAATTGTTTTCCCAATATACTTTTTATGTCTTAATCTCTGCTCAATTACTCTATCCCAAAGTAAAGTGAAACTTTGGGAGGATCCATGGTGGGGGACTCCCCTCTTATCTTACCCCAGAATTTATAACCTCACAATATATTAATGAACTTGCAATCATGGACCAAGGGAGAATCACATGGAACCTAGGGTTGAGGGGAGGGATTAGAAGGTAAGAAACTCTAGATATAATAGATCTTCTGTTTTCTTCTCTCTCTCTTTCTCTCTCTCTCTCTCTTTGATAAAAAATGTAATAGATCTTCATGATAACCCAAAAGAGGTACCCCTTGATATCCAATGGGCAAGTTCACTTGTGCATTCTTTTTCAATACTGCCACTCTCTTTCCCATCTAAGGCTCTTTGGATTGGTCTGTCCCCTCCAAAAGTAAAACTTTCTGTTAAGAAGCTACTATGCAGGCCATTAACACAAAGGACAGACTTCATAGGAATGAAAAACTTGACGCCTCTCCCCTCATTTGTGTGTTCTTTGTTCCCAAGAATGGAGAGAACACTAACCATCTCCTTTTATACTTTCACTTTGCTTCTCAGGTTCGGATCTATTTTCTCTCTCCTTGGTGGAGTATGAATAGCACCATCATCTATTCTTCTCCATCAACTTGCTGGTATGCCACACAAAAAGACAAAATTCTATGGCATTGTATGAGAGCTGCAATCCTATGGAGAATATGGGGAGAAAGGAACACTAAGTTTTTTTTTAATGATGAATAACAGTTATGACTTTTATTAATAAAGATATAGAAAGGAGTAGTACAAAGTGTGTTCATACATCATCAGATAATCCCTCAAAGGTAATCCTTGGTTAACCACCTCATCTAAGATCCTTTAAAACTCTAGTCCTTGGGGTGTTTGTCCCCAAAAAATCTATTTTTTTAATGCTCCATGTTTTTCTAAACTATTTGCCAACCAGAAAATCTTGGGAATGCTAGGATTTTTGAAGACAAGGACTTGGATATCAACTCCTTTATTGAAATTTTCGAAAATGAGAATAGAACATTGGGCTTTGGCATGTGAGGAATTTAAAGGTGTTTTCATTTGATGATCTTTGGAGAGATTGACTGATAGCGATATCTCACCAGCCTAGAGCCTCTGAAATAGTAGAGGAATGGAGAGCTCCAAAGGGGGGAATATAAAATTTAATTTTGGTGGCTGTTGTCTTTGTAACCTGGGGCATTTAGAATTGGAGGCATTGTAAGAGATCATGGATGTAAAACTCTTCTCAGCTATTCAAGCCTAACTGGGCATGGTAATTCTTTGAAGGTTGGGATTTTGGCAGTAAGAGAAGGCTTGAATCTAATGATTTCTCAAGGGTGAACAGAAGTTGTCATTCAAGGGGACTACCAAATTCCTTAAAGTTTTATGAGGCAAGAAGAAGACATTCCATGGAGGTGTAGAACCTTAATTTAATAAGTACAGAAACTAGGGCACAATCTAAAGAGCTCATTTAATTTGGATGGGTCCCTAGGTTTGCAAGTGCGCTGTAGATTTTCTTGCCAAGTTTGGAGTAAACAAAGAGCATTTAGTTTGGGGAAAACCTGGACCATTTATTATGTTGTGAGTTTCTTTATGAGCTTATTATTTGATATCTTGACTAACACGTTGGCCCCGTTACTTTTCAGGAAGCCATTTATTTGGGTAAGTGCACTTACCTGGGTAGGAAACACTTACCCAGGTAAGTACATTTACTTGTGTTCTTTCTTTTTCTTTTTTTGAAGATCAATAAAGACAAAAATTTATTCAAATAGGCCAAAAGGTGTTAGACAGTTATGCCCTTAGCTCCAATCAGATTGATGTACCTTTTCTTCAAAAGGTACATTGATTTGGTGACAAGAAGTCACCCCAATTCTTACAAAACAGAAGCAGAGAACAAAAAACAGAAAATACAGCAAGACTTGATCATTCAGGGTATTCCAGAAGTCATCTCCAAAGTTTTCTTTGCTTAGTCCTTTGAATTCTGGCAAAACTAAAACCCACCCTACAATCCTTGAACTGATGAGTGATGACAGCCGTTAACTCTATATTGCTTCTCAATTTGCCTTCAAATATTCTCTTATTTCTTTCTTTCAGACCTCCCAACATACATCAAATAGAGCACAAATCCACATGATTTTTGTTTTGATGTTTCCATTTACCCTCGGCCAGCGCCCAAAAATCTCCATACAGACATTAGGATCCCAACCGTCCATGTTAAATAGCTTGAAGAAATAGGCCCAAATACTCCTAATGTAATTGCATCGAATCAGAAGGTGAAGAATAGACTCCTCTTCAAACAAGCAAAGATTGTCTTGAGTCAGGATACTTCCCATTGAGATGAGCCAAGCAAAAGCCTCCACCACTGGGGGAATTGGTTTCCCCCATTCTCCTTTAATTGAGTCAGACCCTACCTGATTTCTGGACAAAGCATTGTAGAGAGATTTAATAGGTAAGTTAACCAATGACCTTTTTTCCCATAAAATGTTATTATTAGAAGGGAAATTTTGTCCCATCATTTGTTGGCAACTTCTCCCCAGTTAGGAAAGTTACCCACCACTTTCCCCCTGGTGGGAAAGTTAACCACCTAAGTGATACCCGGGGAAAGGTCATTTACCATGGGACCTATGGTTTACCAAAAAAAGAACATGGGATTGTTGGTCTACGGTAATCACTTTCCTGTTGACCAATTTCTCCCCTCTCCATTTACCAAAAAATGAATGGGGTCATTGTACATCTTGTACTTATCCATTCTATCTAGCTCTTGGGTAGTGTATTTTTTTGGATGAATAAATTGCATGTTGTTACTCAAAAAAATCTTTCAAAGTTTTATAATATGGCTAATGAGCTTAATCCCATGATAATCGTTGCAACTTTGTATATCACCTTTGTTTTTGAATATAGAAACCATAGTGTTCTTTACCCATTCATCTAACATCTTTGTTCATTATCCTATTGTGATACTATCATATCCTAATTCATTTTGAAACTTATAATTTTATGAAGGTACATATTATTTTTAGTAATATTAGAGTCACTAATTCCTCCTCCACTATCACCTTCTTTATGCTCTTCATTTAATATCTATTAAAATAGCTTCTCCATCTTTTCTTGATTTCCTCATCTTTTATCAAGTCTCTTTGATGCATCTAACACGAAAGTATTTGCATATGGTTTGACACAAAAGGACAAAAATGTTGAAATGGGTAAATTTTGGTTTGGATGTAAAATTAAGGGAAAACATAAATCAATTTAATTCCTAGAATCAGTCAATGAGATCCTAGAGTGACTATGATTTATGGTAATCAGTCACTACAATAGCTTAAATCATGCAACATGATAATTAATCACTACCTGATTTCTGGGACAGAACTATATATAGATAGATAGAGAAATCCCATATTAGCTCCTGCATCATTAAGCCTTTAAAAAATCCCTAAATTTTCACTTCCACAAGAATAATTTTAGGGTTCAAATCTCTAAAGCTGCATTTAGAAACAATGCAAATGGAGTGTAAATCCCAGTTCAGGGTAAATTTGCACTCTGGTTCACTTTTGCCTGTGTTTGGCAACATTACATTTTTGCATTGACAAATGACAGATCAATGCATATTTACATTGATAATAAGATGTAAAAATACATCAATAAAAACGAAGTAAATTTGCATTCAAGTGGGCTTTTGATAAAAAAAAAAGCATATGCTTTATTGGAATTCGTGTTTGCATCCATTACAGCCAAAAGTCTGTACGGTAAGGAGGTAAATTTGTCAATGCAAAACTAACCCAACTTTACAATTTATATGAACCGTTTTGCACTCTACATATTTGCATTGTTTCCAAACGCAGCCTGAAAGAAAGAAGCCTCTTACCATATTTGTTGTTCCCAAGACAGTTGCAATTGGTGCATTTACCAAAGACATTTAAGGAGTCTGAGATGCACTATATCTGAAAGGTTATCAATCGGGGAGTCTATTTAGCATTGATGTTAAGAAGAATATGGAAGTTATGGATTAGAAGAGGCCATAGTTTTTGTGTTTTGTCGTTTCGTAAATGAAGTATAACCCAACTTCCAAATAAGTTGGAGCCTTTGGAGGGGCAGATATGGTTTCTTCTGTGCCATTTCTTTTTTATTTTTTCTCCCAGCATTGAATTTAGTCCTACACTTTTTTCATTTTTGTGAGTTTATTTTGTTTATTGAATTTGATTAACATTACAGGCATTAATAATACCCCCCCATGTAGGGTTAGGGTATATGGGACCAAGTTATTCAAATAACTTGGCAAGTTATTGCTACCTTTCTGGCTAGTGTTTAACCCCACGTTCTAGTGGGTAGAAGCAATGATTCTGATTGGAACATTTGTTTGCAATAACAGGTCGGACCTATATCCCAGAGCACTCCCTGAAGATCAATGCCACTACCAGTATCAGAACAGGGATCATTTGATATTTCGATATGGCATTTACCCCTTCTGAATATTCTAGTCTGATCATCCAAAGTTTCATCAGATTATCAGGCAGTTAATGGCTGTTAGCTTGTCTGGATGGCCATCACCAAGACAGTATAATTTGTTCAGTTTATTCTCAAGGAGTATTGCAGTGGGGAACTTGCATTGTTAAATTAATTCTTTCCCAAGGTGTCACCTGAGCTATTAATGGGCGCAGTTTATGGGTCCCATGTTCACTCCTTGAATTTCACATTGTGAACGTTCATCTGGGAATGTCAGTTTTCCCAATTCCCTTGCGCAGGGAAAGAGAATAGATTATCAGAATACATACCACCACGTAGAAGAACAAAATTGTGTGAATGTAAGTCTTTTTTTTTTTTTATTATTATTATCAAATAAAAGCAGGTAATTCTTGATTTTAAGGTCAGGACACCATGCATGATATTTGTCTTCTAGAATTATTAAATGGCTTCCAGTGGACCATAAATTGATTACTGACAAATGGAATTTCCTTTCATCAAGCTGACTCTCCTCACTAAGCCGTGTTTAGATCAATATTATTTGGGCAAATGGTTGAACCACTTGATTTATTCAAATTAAAAACATTAATTAATAAAATAAATAAATTTTAAAGGGTTATAGGGCATATTGCATGTTAAAATGTAAATAGAGTTAGTTTCACGGTGCCAACATTTCAAAGAATTGAGCATAAAAAAAAGAAAAGAAAAAGAAAAAGAAACTGTTTTTGGTTTTGTCTACCAGTTCCCCGTTTTGATAGTCCAACTGTCCAATCTGCTTGGACTTTGACAACATTGGATTCCAAAGGGCGTGGATTATTTCCAAAGAATCTCCTTCAATTAGAATTTGATTCAGCTTAAGCTGTTGAGCAAGTAATAAACCTTTCCTGAAAGGTGAAAGCCTCCAGTTCAATGGGTGATGCGGTTTAAAATTATGATTCAAGAAGCATCAAATCATTCCCAAAGAATAAGATAAATAGACCTTAATTTAAACTCACTAATGGGCTTTAAACAGTGTTTTTGGTTAGTGGGTTTCTAACCACTAGTTTGTTAATGGGTGTTTTATTAAATGTTACATTTCCTTGGGGGAAGGATAACTCTAATTAAAAACGTTGGCCAATTTATTAGTGTATTTCCTATCTACTTTCTAAGTACTAGTAAAAGTGACCAACCAATTAGAGAAGATTACAAGGGACTCCCTATTGGAACAGGAAGAAACTTAGGAGATCACCTAGTGAAGTAGGAGGTGGTTCCTAGAAGTAGAGATGATTGAAGCCTAGAAATAGGAAATATCAAGCTAAGAAATATATCATTATTGGGGAAGTGATTGTAGAGTTTGTTTATGGAATAAGATAGACTGTGGCATAGAGTGATTGCTAACGAACATGGATTGGCAAACAATTATTGGGATGTGGGTCTCAATGCTAGGGCTTTTCATTGTTCTCCTTAGAAAGCTATCCATGGCATCTTGCCTTTCATTCTCCTTTATTTCAAATTTAATGCCTGTGCAAGAAACAAAGTGTTGTTTTGGGAAGATGCTTGGGTTAGAGGGATTATCCTTAGTGATAGGTTCTCTACTATTTATTCACTTTCAGAGAATAAAAGAAAAGTGTTCTCTTTGATTTTTATTGATAATTCATGGGACCTAGGCTTAAGGAGAGGGTTAAGGGAGTTGGAAATGAAGATGGTGGATGAACTTATTACTCTTTTAAGATTGGTTTACTTGGATAAATCATGCTTGGATGGCAAAATTTAGAAAACTTCCTTGTCTATAATGGCCTTATTCAATCATCTAAGCTTGTAGGGAACTTTCCTTTAAAGAAGGCTTGGTTTAGCCCTGTACTTCCAAAAATTTGGGCTTTTTGTTGAGAGGTGCTACTTCAAAAATTCAATATTTAGGATGTATTGAAAAGAAAAAAGGCAAAATCTTTGCCTTTTTTCACCCCATGTTTGTTGCCTTTCCTTGGGTTCTAATGAGATGATCACACGCCTAATCTCTTGTCCTTTTGCATTCTTTATTTAGTCTTGGTTTTCTTATCTTTTTGACTATATGTGTGGACCTTTCCTTTGGATGTGGTAAAACTTTTTGACCCAATTTTTTTAGGCAACCAAAGAGGTGTAGAAGAATTATGTGGAAAGTTACAATAACAACTATTCTTTGGTTAGTCTAAAAAGAAAGAAACAATAGGATCTTTAAAAGTGTAAAAATATCCAAGGAGGAAATTGTAGAAATAATAACCATTTATGATTATTCATTAGTTGAAATCAATTGATTTATTCAAGGGCTTCTTAGTTGAGGACATTTACAGGAATTATGGTGAGGTGGCAGCTATAATTTCCCTAAAACTTGTTGTACAGGAACGTTGGTCCCCACCAACACAATAAATGATGAAGTTGAACTTTGATGGAAGCTCTGAAGGTAACTCAAACCCTTCGAGTACAGGGGGAGATTTCAGAGATGGAGATAGTAGAATATTTTCTATGGTTTCAGGGCCAATAAAAGTGAAGGACTTGTTAAGAGCGAAAGTGATGGCTTTGCTTCAAGGTGTAAGATATGCCAAACACTTTGGGTTAAACCAAATTGAGATAGAAGAAGTCTCTAAGTTGTTAATTGAATGGTTGCAGTCAAGTTGTTTGGGAGCTTGGACACATAGAAAATTGATAAAGGAAATCCTTAGCATAATAAGGGAGATTGATGCATGTTTCAAGTGGACGATAAGGTTAACTAATGGATTAATTGATAACTTAACCAAACAAGGGACTGTGAGGGAGAACTTGTTTTGGGAAATATTGTAATGAAAGTTTACCTTGGGCTCAACACCCCGTAATAGGGGTTGACAGTTGCATCTTGATATTTCATTAATGATGTTACTATTTCTAATAAAAAATATTAAATGTTCCAACATCTAGTTTTTTTGTTCTCTATATAGCGCCTTATACCAATTGAGTGGTGGCTTGATTGGTATGTTAACTGGAAAGTCCCAACAGAGATGCGGATTCAAATTCCGCTATAAGCACCTACATTGAAAAGTTAGTGTGTTGTGTTAAGTACCAAGAAAAGGCCTTATAATTTCAAATTAGAGGTAATCAAATTTTTTTTTTTTTTTTTCTTTTTGTTTTGTGAAGCTTAGTCCTTTCTTTTCAGAGTTGCGAGAGTCATCTCTTAAGTGAGTCCCCAATCCCTTTGGTGAGTGAATCCTAAATCTTTTGCCTCTTTGTTCACCTTATATCAATAAAGTTTTGTTCAATTCCCTTCTTCTTTTTCCATTTTTTCTTTAAACAAATTTCTTTCATTTTTTCTTCATATTTAAATTGCACCAATTGGTTGGTATTAGAGTGGGTTGAGTTAGAACTTGTAACTTTATTGCTCTATTCTCTTTCCTCATCCATAAACAGTGTTGTAGTTTTAGAAAATGAGCTAGATGATGTTCTAATTCCGGAAATGAAATCTTTATCAAAATAGGTAATGCCATGCCATACACCATCGGAAGGATCTTCAGGTCTATTTTGTAATACAACAAACAAATTAATGGTTCATTAATCAAAATTTTCTACAAAATGTTATAGTTAAAAACACAATTGATTGACAAAGCTGTCTACACACCTAAATTCTTCAAAAAGTGAGGTAAGATGTTGATGGCCCAAGTTAACAATCAATACATGCAATGACAATCTTATGTGCCCTTTTCATTAATAATATGAAATAAAGAAGACTATATTGTCTGGTATGGTTTTTCATAGCTTGATGAAAAGTCTATTATTTATAAAGAATCTTCTATCATTCGTAATTAATTTAAAAATGGAGACAACTAGTCCTCCAAAGTTTGATTAAGAGTATTATTTATGAGGCATCTTCTATTGTTTGTGATCAATTTCAAATTGATGAAAATAATACTAATCAAATAGGAGATTTTGATTGCTTTATACAAGTATATGAAGATCCTTATGGGCAGCCATCTTCTTAACATTTTGAATGGGCGTTAAAATGTGTTTCAATAGTTATGAGGCACAATGAAAAACCACAATCCAAATTGGTGGTTTACACCATCAATTGCCTATCGAAGGGTCAATGAAAAAGAAATGCAGTTGAGGCATGGTGACAAATCATTTTTTTATTCAACTCGAGGATGACTTCTTTTCAAGAGGGGGAGATTGATGCCAGAAACATCAATCGTTTTGAGAGAATAAGATGAATGAACCTTAATTTAAATTCATAAATGGGCTTTCAATAACCATTTTGGTTAGTGAGTTTCTAATGGTTAGTTTGTTAGTGAAATTCTAAGAATTAATTTGTTAATGTTCTCACTTGATTTACTATTTTTTACTAATAAATTTTGTTAATAAGAATTATTAGCAGTAAATTAATAGTAAATAGGCTAATTAAGTCATTTAATGTTCTATTATCGTTTTTTCTATTAATTTTTTGTTACTCCTAATTAATAGAAATTACTATTACTATTACTATTAATTTTATAATAATTACTCTTTTCCGTTTTCTATTAATAAACTTCATTAACTATAAAATGTTAACAATAAATTAATAGTAAATTAATGAACAAACAATTTATTTATTTTCTATCTATTGACTTAATAATTAATAAACCTAATAAAAATAATTAATTACAAAATTAGCCTAATTTAACTACCAGATTGATTTAATTAATTCAACTAATTAATTGATTAAGTGGAACTATCATGGTTGACATAATCAATCTAATTGACCTAATATTCTTACCAAACCCAAATTATCAAGTCAATTTAATTAACCCAGGTGACCTAATGAAATTATGTAACCAAATTAACTTAACTAATCTAATTAATTTCAAACTTGAAATATGTCACTGTTGACCTATATAAATTTATGGTTTCTTCTATTACTTTTTTTTGTTGGGGTGACTTTTACAAATATTTTTAATTCCTTCTATCATCATATTGGATATCAGATTTTCCTATGTACAAGATGTATCAAAGTTAACCCTGATAGTGTCCATTGGGGTGCATTTCCACATAATAGTCTCCAATATCTTACATTTTCTATTCATCAAATCTGATTTAAAGCTTTTAACCTCTAAGAAGGCACTTAAGTCTTGACTCAAAATAATAAGAGAGAGGATAGTCTTATTATTGAATTGAAAAATCCTTTCATCTTTATTCTCCCACAAGTACCAAATTAAAGAAATAATATCCACAATTAAAAACTTTGAAAGCATCCATGCGAACATCCACAAGGTTCCCCCAAGGTTTTTAAAATCGTCTCGGACAACAAACCGGTCAAGGGGCTAGTTCTTGGGTCGAACAGTTTGATTGTTTGAATCAAACGGATGATCCATTCTGACAAAAATAAAAAAATAAAAAAATGATCAAAATCGTTGAATAGTTCGAACGATTCAACCGCCCAAGTCAGC